GATTCGGATTCAGCGACCCCAAAAACATATAATAAACATGGTCTGATCCCCAGGCCAAAGAAATTTTTTTTTTTTGTGTGGCTGTGTAATTATTACTCCAGCACACGTTTTTAAAAACGCCTCTGTGAAGAAAAACAAAACAACTTTAGAGTCAAAAGGATGCATCTGACAGTGGTGTATATTAATATTTAGAAAATAGCCAGCATATATGCGTTGGCATTGTTTTCTATACTCATATTAGTACAGATGATATTTTAAACGTTTATAGAATGATATAACACATAATAATTACAATATAACACATTTGAATACAACACAATATTTGTAGAATATTTAATACACTACGCGATTTAATATTATATAATTTATTACACTATAATGTAAGATTAACAAATAACACAACAAATGCAACACAAATATTGTTCACTTTGACTTTTTCAGTAAAACTTATAAAAGTTTGATTTGTTTTGTGTTGTATTGAAAACGTTTTGACAAAAAAAACACGTGTTCCGCAAAGCGAGTTATTTTAAAGTTGTTCTATGGTTTTGCAAAACGCAATTGCAGTCACAGATCTCGCGGAAGTGACCAATCGTGTTGCGCGCGATTGAGTAGTTTGATAGATCCGTTAAGTCAATTTCGTGAGACTTGCGTTTGCTCTCTGCGACTACTGTTAAACGATCTTTATGTTTGCAGATACTTCGAAGGTTAGAAAATCTGTCATGTGACACGATATGCACATGCATACTGGTCATATGCGCACGCGTCATATCCTAGCACTCTCTATCGCAATATTCGTGAACTACATAGTGCTGTTTTGGGCTTGTTTTTTCTGGCATAATGTTAGTATATGATAGCAAATATACTGTCATAACAAGAATCGTTTTTTCTCGATAATTACACATTCTAATCCTAATCTGAATGTCTCATAATATTCTTTGATATCATACGTTTGTATGAAGTCCGGTCAAAATGTATGCATTTAGAGCGTAAAAACAATTCTACAATATAAAAATATGGTTAGGTTATAATAGGAAACTGTAAGTAAAAAATTTATTCTTATTTCCGACACTCTATTAGAACTTCATACAAATCTTAGCATAATTTAATTGCTTCTGGAGAAGCACTTTTTATTTGATGTAGTAAATACGGAGAAATTTTGATCCTACTAAACGTCGGTTTACAAGTGTCTATAGTCGGTATCCAGTACCCTCTTAAATAGGTAAGATCGTTAGGATTGTTGGACGAAGGTATTAAAAAAAGGTCATGAATTCATAACAGCTTTGATTTAAGTGAGTACTGTGCACATCTCCTCAAAATTTAACGCGGTCTCTGTGACAATATGTTTTAAATGGAATTTTGCAGACTTTACCGCTGCTTCCCAAATGCCACCAAAATAAGAAGCATGTGGTGGTATAATGCCACTCAATGCAATCTTTCTTGAGCATAGCGTCCACTTGATTCTGATGATGTTTATTGTGCAAAAGGTGATAAAATTTCTTCAGCGAGTTTGCTGCTCCCGCGTGTAGTTATTTGTGATGAGCTCATGTGCTATGATGAGATGCGTGAACAGGTAATTGGTAGGCAACAATATGGGATGTTTGGTGTCTGGCAATATCGCTGAATTTTGAAGGCGTCCGCCGACTCTGGTGACGTTTTGCTCGTCGATAATGAAAGCCAAGCTTAACAGTTTACTTTGTCGTGGACTGCCCTTTGTCTTTAGAGCGCATAATTCTTCTTTAAAGAACAATTGTTGAGCCATCTTTACCAGTTCAAGTTTGATTTTACCAATTCCTATGCGGTTAAAGAACCCGTTATTCTGTCCTGAGACGGGCATCTAAGATTATTGATAAATCTTAAACAGAAGGCATGGTCTCTAATTAGCTTGCTCAGTGAAGAAAATCTTTTAAATAATTCTTGATCGCTATTCGTAATGACCATGGACGTAACAACTTTCTGTTTTTGTTCCGGCAATTCGACTAAAAGAAAGAGCGATACACTGGTTTTTCACTCCTGACGTTTCTGGTACAACCACTGTGGTCCCGACCACCAGAGGTCGAATTTGATTAACGACAAAAGCAAAGATGATACATGATCCGCGGGATTAAATTCTGTGTCTACATAGTGTCATCACTCACTTGATGATGTCTTATAAATTTGACTAACTTCGTTGGCAACAAAACCATTCCATCTTTTATCCGTTGCCTTTATTCAGCGTAGCACTATGGTAAAGTCCGTCCAATAGAACGCCTTCTGGTTTGAAGCGTATTGCCCTTAAAGTCTTATCTATTAACCTTGCCAACAGTAGGGCGCCACACAATTCAAGTCGTGGTAATGTAATTGTCTTTGCTTCGTGCGACATGAGATTTTGAGTATAACAATCGGACTAAATGTCAAGCTTGTGATTTGGTGAACTAAAGATAAACGCAAGCTTCATATGCTTTTTCACTTGCATCTGAGAAGCAATACTTGTGACTTTCTGACTGCATTCTTACATGCTACGTAATGTAATATCTTAAAGTTGTGAATCATGTATAATTGAGACTAGAATTGCGACGCCGTGTAGACGTCCATTAGAACGGTCTCGTCCCATGCAAGATTGAATTGCCACACTCTTTGGATAAGCATTTTAGCGACATGTTAGAGGCCTTAAAAAACCCAAAGGATCGAAGATTTTGGACATTGTTGATAGCATGCTTCGCTTTGTTATTTTGCAAGCGTCAGGAACATTGATATCATATTGAAAGCAATCATCTGCTAATGTCTACTGTATGCCTAAAGTATATACTTCTTCGTTTATACTAACAAAATGAATCGGTTTGCTTGAATCAACATAACGCATGTCATTTAGTAACTCGGGATGATTTTCTAAGATGAAACCTTCTCTTTTCTAATACCTTGATAGTTTCATCACGAAGGTTTTTCATCCGGCTTCTGTGTCCGCTCCTGATACTATTGGGACCTTGAATAAGTTCTCGCTGTTTCCCAACAGATGGCGTTACCAGAACTGCGTGTAGTTTAAGATGGTAACGCATTTATAAAGAAGTATCATAGGCAAGTTTGAAATTCAGTGCATGTCATTTCGCTAAAGTGTAAACAACTTCTTTTTTTATAGTGTTAAACATGTCGAGTTTCGTGCCAAAAAAGAGTATTTGCGAGGAATTTTATTGCACTATTTTATTCAAAAAAAAATCTGCAGCTGAAGCACACAGAGTTCTTGTTGAGACTTACGGCGACCATGCTCTGTCGGAAACATGCAGTGATTGGTTTAAACGCTTCAAAAATAATGATTTTTATGTTGAAAATAAAGAACGCTCTGGCGCACCAAAAAAGTTTGAAGACGAAGAATTGGAGGCATTACTTCATGAAGACTCATGTCAGACGCTAGCTGAACTTGCAGAATCATTAGGAGTAGATGATACAACAGTTTCGAAATGTTTGAAAGTATTAGGAATGATTCAAAAGCAAGGACATTGGGTGCCGTACGAGTTGAAGCCGAGAGACGTCGAACGGCATCTTTTCACGTGTGAACACCTGTTTCAACGGTAGAAAAGGAAAGGTTTTTTGCATCGTATCGTGATTGGCAATGAAAAGTGGATACACTACAATAACCCTAAGCGTAGAAGATCGTGGGGTAAGCCCGGCCATGCATCAACATCGTCGGCAAAGCCGAATATCCATGGTTTGAAGTTTCTGCTCTGCATTTGGTGGGATCAGCTGGGTGTAGTTTATTATGAGCTGCTCAAACCGAACGAAACCATCACGGGAGATTGCTATCGACTACAATTGATGCGTTTGAGCCGAGCATTGAAAGAATAACGGCCGCTATACGAGCAGAGACACGACAAAGTGATTTTGCAACATGACAACGCTCAGCCACATGTTGCACAACCGATAAAAACCTACTTGGAAACGCTTAAATAGGAAGTCCTACCTCACCCGTCGTATTCACCAGATATTGCCCCTTCCGATTATCACTTGTTCCAATCAATGGGACATGGCCTAGCTGAGCAGCACTTCCATTCTTATGAAGATGCCAAGAAATGAGTCAATTCTTAGAAGGATAGCCTCAAAAGACGTGTCGTTTTTCCGACGTGGAATGCAAATGCTGCCAGAAAGATGGGAAAAAGTAGTGGCTAGCGATGGGCAATACTTTCAGTGACATGTGTTTTACGACTTTTTAAAATAAAGCATTAATTTTCACGAAAAAACAGCTAGAACTTATTCAAGGTCCTAATAGGTTGTCGACGTAGAAGTCATTGATGATTGTTGATGATCTTATCGAATAACTTGATGCTTCTATGTTAGCTAACTCTTGCATTGCTCTTATTGCCAGAAATGGCGTGCAGGTTGTACCATATGTTACTGTTTGCAGCTCAGAGGTGGCTAGTTCTTCGCTTGGATCACTTTTCCAAATGATAGTTGGCAAAGCTGTTTGCGTCTTGTCAATTTGTACCTGCCGATACATTTGAGCAATATTGATTGTAATTGCATATTGATGAATGCGGAATCGTAGCAAAATTGAAAACAGTTCTTGCTGCAAGATCGGTCTCATCAATAAACAGTCGTTTAATATTCCTGTGCTACTCTTGCAGGAAACGTCAAATACTACACGCAGCTTTGCAGTTAAATTGTTGTTCTTTAGTACCGCACAGTGTGGAATATAGTACCGTAGAATGTGTGCTGGTGCTTGCTTATTATCAATACGTACCATATGATCTAAAGTTAAATAGTCAGACATGAATTGTACATATTATTCCGTTAATCTTGGCTGTTTTTGCAATATGCGTTCTATGGAACGCATATTACAGAAATTACGCATTAACAGAAATCTGCTCAGGGCTACGCTGCGAGATTTACCAAGCTGTAGTCTTGCCTCCTTGACTGACATCTGCACAATGAAGTGACCACATGCACTTTCTGTTGTGGTTCTTGCAAAGTGTTCCATGCAGCTTCTTTGTTCAACAAAGAGTGTTATTTCGTCACTGATGTGTTTCATGTTCCAGAATTTGGCTAGCGTTTGATTTATTTGTTGATTGGTTAATAAGTTACACACTTTAAACTTTGCAGGATCGCAGTTATACGTCGTTCTGCCGACGATCTAATTTAGTTGTGTTTTCTGCAACGTAAGTTGAGTCTTGCGCTTATGAATTTGTCCCACGCACAATAACTACCAAAACAATTGAGCGCCTATGAGTAGATCAACCTTGCTCGGAATGTGAAATTTAGGATCAGCTAATCTTATGTTACTTGAAATCTTGAACTTATTGATGTTTATGTAAGTTTGAGGCAAGTTTTCAGTAATGGTGTTCAGCACATAGCATTCAATGTTTTGTGAGAAAACCGTGTGCATTGACCTTATCTGTACGTTAACTGTGTGACACGAATGTGCTTGTGATTGATTTATTCCGGTTACAGCCATGTTAGCTTGTTTCTTAGGTCGATTGAGTCTTGTACCTAACTCTTCAGTAATAAAATTAGATTGCATGTTTGCATGTTGTTGTTTTTGTCATAAAAATTAACAATTGCAGTAGATAATATAACCTGATGATACTTATCTTGTGTTACGTGATGATTCAACGTGATTTCACTGGCCAGACTTGGCGGATTTGCCGTGGTTGCAGATGTAGTGTTCTCTTCAGACTTGTTTTCTATGCAAAGAAGCGTATTGTGCTTTTCACTACAAGTTTGATACGTTGACGACTTGCAGTTCTTAGCTTAATGAGACGTAGATCGCAAGCAGTTGATACATAACTGCTTAGCCCGAACTTCCTGTCCTTGATTGATAGCTTCAGGAAATCAGAACACTGAAATACGTAATGCTTCCCTTTGCAAAGAGCACAACAAATGCTACTGGAAGTGGCTAGATGAACGTTAGACATCTTGTTGTCCAACGTTCGTGACTTTACGTGTATTTGCCGTTGAATCGCTTTTTTGCTACTGCCTGCAACTAACATTGTTTTACATTTATGTGTAAAAAAATCAGTGTAAGTTGTTTTAATGTAGATATATCTGTAGATTGAACGTGATCCTCCCAGAGTCTGATGATGCTTGAGTCCAATCTTGAGACAATCAAGTAAATGATGAGATCGTCCCAATGATCAGTGGCCTAGATTTTTTAAAGACCGAAAATGTAATACATCATTGATTTTCTTAAAGTTGCATGATTGTCCCGAGCAATTGTAGGCAGTTCACACAACGCTCTTATGTGCTATTATGCGTTTGTCATCGTAATGTTACTTTAATAACTCTAATGCTTCGTGATAATTATCTGACCTGATTTTTAATGATTAAATAACGTGCGCCGTATCGCCTTCAAGTGACAAAATTAAATAATAAAATCGTTGTGTATCTGTTAATTGCGTATTTAAATAAATCATAGACTCGAAAGTATTATAAAATGGATACCAATCCTCGTAATTGCTAGCAAACTCCGGTATTGCAATTTGGAAGGTGCACTTGATTGATGTCACGAACATAATTCTCGACCAGGAGCACTTGACGAACATAATTGTGGTCCGATTCTTCACGCACGAGTGTCAATAAACGTTCTATTTTGCTGACAAGATTGAGATAACTTTCTTCAAAAGTTATGCATTCCGCTTCTTGTTTGGCCTTGAGCTGTTCTACATTATCTAAATCATTTGCAAGCTCCAGTAATTCATCAATTTGCGTTTGAATCTCATTGAACTGGTTCCACTATGTTGCAAGCTTCTCTTTGCGTTGTTTTACATACGTAACATCTACTGCATGAGAATCTGTTGTCTCTATTGTGTTTCGAGCGCGCGTACACTGTGATTTTATCGAAGCCCGTTTGGCCTTAAGTGCTTTTAATACTTGCGCTGACATAACGACTGATATGTTGAGAAGGAACATAGTACTGATAGGAAGCTGTAGACTCACCTTGATAAGTTCACTTCGTTAGCCTTTTGCGCTACTGAGGTTATGTTGTCTCGTCTTGCTTGAGATTGCTTGAATGTATTCATATTTGCATCTATATCCGGCTCGAAGAACCGATGTTGGAAATATAGTTGACTCGCTTTTTGGTGTATACTGTTTTTATTCAAGATAACGATTTTTGTGTACAATAGTTGCATATAACAATAGTAGTTACACAAGAAAATACCGAACGGAAGTAAAGTAAAAAAAGGCGGGCAGACCCCGCTATTGCTATCAAAAAAGGGGGGCAAAGCGCAGCGCCAGACGCTCAGCGCGCCACCATGAACCGGTAGCGTAGGAATTGCCTCGTAGATATCAGAGAGAAGACTGAGAGCGGCTATCTTATTGTAGTTTCTTATGACGGTTTCAGCCGCTGATTTTAGCAACATATCCACAACAGTGGATCTCAAAGGCCGTTCTACATTAAACAAGGATCTTTCTACATTAAACGCAAGTCGCAGGTGTCGTGGATTTGACTAATTGCATAGTCAAATCAGCCAATTGACCAACGTGATCAATTCCACAAGACCTGCGACTTAAGTTTAATGTACAATAAAAAGGCTCTTCAGATCCACTTTTGTGGATATAGCGCTAAAACCAGCGGCTAAAACCATCGTAAGAAACTACAATGGAATAGCCGCTCTCAGTCTTCTCTCTGTAGATACAAAGAGATGTGAACGGCACTTTAACCAGCGCGCGAATCCTCACTAGATTTATTAAAAATAACAAAGATTTGGTAAAAATTGACCAAACAAATACGTAGTTTATAAGTTGCAATGTAATGATTGCGATGCTTCGTAGGCCAGACCATGAGACAACTCAAAACTAGAATTTCCAAACACAAAAAACAGATTAATCGTTGCGCGGAGAATGTTTCTGTCGTTACACAGCATAGAATTGATACGGATAACAATTTCAATTGGCAAAATACCAAAGTTGTGGACACAGAATCTTTATTTTTCAAGAGGTCCGTCTCCGAGACAATACATATCAAATTATAAGGCAATTCAATTAACGTCATGTCGGACACGCTGAAACCGTATTTTTCATGTTTGAAAAATTACAAGGCGACATAGTCATTTTCTGTTCGTTTTCAAGCGTGTAGTGGGATAGGGAGACGGTTACATGTACCATGTAAGGAAGGGGGGGCTACTCAGTTTGTCGGTTGTCTTCGAGGCGGGATGTTTTGCGTTTTCTTGCGTATATATACGACTGGTTACTTAGTTGCTATTTTCCTCTCTCTATTCTCCTCAAAGTGAATATGTTTGTAGCGTATTTTTTCTGTATTCATATTTTTTATTATCGTTGCAAATATTGAGAGTAAACCAATTAGTTCGGTCCGTTTCCAAAAGATGGCTCTGGCTGTTGTGAATAGTTCATAATGACAGCTGATTTTGGCGGTTTCAGAGAGGTTAGGTTAAACATCTGCTAATAATATTCAGTTTATATCGCTTTGAGTTTCATACAAAAACCTTGATTTTTACTGTGTTTGAAATGTGGAATTTGGTATTAATCAAGCAGCATTTGCGGGAGGTTTTAATTTTCTGCTTTAATTGGAAGAAAAGTGCAGCTGAAGCCCATTGACTGCTTGTCAAAGTTTATGGTGACACTGCTCCAACTGATAAATCATGTAGGGAATGGTTTCGACGTTTCAAGGATGGAGATTTCAGCGTTGAAGACAAGCTTTGCTCTGGACAACTAAAAAATTTAAAGACAAAGACTTGAAGGCATTATTCAAAGAAGATCAGAATCAAACGCAAGAGGAGCTTGCAGAATTATTGGGAGTAACTCAACAAGCCCTTTCTGTACGATTGAGAGCCATAGGAATGATTCAAAAACAAGGAAATTGGGTACCTTATGACGTTATGAACGAGAGACGTTGAAAGGCGATTTTTTACTTGCGAGTTACTGATTCAAAGGCAACAAAGAAAATATTTTTTGCATCGGATTGTGACTGGAGATGAGAAGTGGATATTCTACGACAACCCCAAGAAGAAAAAATACTACGCTAAGCCCGGTCAATCGTTGCCATCGACCTCAATATCAACACCAAAGCCGAACATTTATGGTTCGAAGATCATGCTCTGTATTTGAGACCAAAAGGATGTTGTTTACTATGAGCTGCTGAAACCTGGCCATTCCATTATAGGCGATCTGTATCGGCTATATTAATTCATTTTTTGAGCCGTGCATTGTGAGAAAAACGGTCGGAATACGAGCAAAGACATGATAAAATTATTCTTCTTCATGACAACGCTCGGCCTCATGTCGCAAAAGTCATAAAAAAATATTTAGAAACGCTCAAATGGGATGTTTTACCGCACCCGCCGTATTCTCTGGACATTAATCTTTCTGATTACTGGTTGTTCCGAAGGATGTAGCACGATTTGGCAGGTCACCGGTTTATTTTTTTCGCAGAAATCGAAAATTGTCTCCAAACTTGGATCGCCTTCAAAGACGAGTCATTGTTTTGAGATGGAATTCGAAAATTGCCTGAGAGATGGGAAAAAGTAGTAGCCAGCGATGGACAATAATTAATCTGTTCATTCATTTTGTTTTGAAATAAATACATTTTTTGAACACAAAAAAACGGACCGAACTAATTTGTACTCCCAATGGATCATTTATTTATGGTAATTTTTTAATGTAGAGATACTGAAAAAGATTCCATAGTGGATCGAAACGTTTGTATCTTTAGTAAATCCTCGGAATAAAGAAGAATTTTACCCGAACATCAAGAATAGCTTGTTAGTGCTTTCTCCCTATCTTTTTTTTTAAACATACAACAAGCACAAAACATATTATAAAAAACATAGTGTTTCTTCTCCGACTATCTCTTGCTATCACGTACTGTTTCCCTTCGATCTCTTCTAGCAGATCAAAATCTGATCTATATGACGCGGTTATTAATATTATTGATAATATACTGCTTGTATATTACTATAATGTCATCAAAAAATCTTTTTTGTCCAAAAGTAGACAACAAATCTTTTGTAATAAAACGCTGATTTTTAAATACTTCAATATAATGCATGTATAAACTACAAATGTTTTTACAAAAAGACGAAATAGAAAATTAAATTAGTGTTGTTTGTTAAAAGTAATTCATACTCTTTTCTTAATTTCTTTAATTGTTTGTTTTTTGTGATATGAGAAATTTGATTACAATAATAAAAAAAAATGAATTATTTAATTAAAAGTATACTACAACCAGAGTTGGGCAAATTTTATTTAAAATAACGAATAAAAAATAATAAATGAATAATAACAAATGGAGAAATAATAACAAAAAAATTCGTAAAATTTATTTGCGAATAACAAATGATACAGATTTATTCGTAAGTAACAAATAAGTTTTACAAGTAAAATCGATTATTCGTTATTTGCGAATAAATTTTACAAATGTATTTGTTAATTAAAATAACTCCTTGACGAATAACTTTCCGAATAAATTAAGTAGTATTGGCACACGTAAATATTATTACAAAATTTTTAATAATTAAGCTAAATAGATATAAAGAATAGAGAATAGGAAAGTATGCGCAACTG